GAGTACATTTGAATTGATCAAAATACAAGGCTACATTAATTTAATGATTTCTATCATTAAACAGCGGGATGTCGTAAATAAAACTCCTTACTGACTCACCGTGTATGGTAAATTAAGCCTTTGAACGTCTTACAGAAGATTTATTTGTTTCGTTTAATATAAAAAAAGTTATTGCATTTTGAAATGTGTCCGAATGTCAATAAGAGTCACTTTACGTGAAAATGTACATATTTAAAGATATAATCGTGAGGATTACAATTCTAGACAGGCTATGACATTCTCAATTTATTTTATTACGTGGTGCTCGAGAAAATTTATCATTGTATCGTTAACGAGAGATTACTCGGGAGCGCGATATCGTTTTATATCACTTAACCAACATGTTAAATCGTTGAAACTATTGGTAAAGGCAGTGATAAATTTTCTGCGAAATTTTGTAAATAATCGTAAGTTCGTTAAACCGGGAGGAATAAAGTATAATTCCAGATTAAACGACTAATGTAATATGTTATAACAAAACAGAACAAAGATTGTCACTACATGTAATGTACGGGTATTATAAGCTACTGTGTAGCATTTTTGTCGATGAGTACTATAATTTTAATACAAAACTATTTCCAAATTTTAATGCAGTTGCTGTTAATTACAATTCACGTGATAAATAGACTGCAGATTTTATGCATTTGTAAGAAAACTGAATGTGCAAAAATAGAATAGTAATATACACATAATAATGTAGGAGATATCAAAAACAAAATACATATTGCAATATGTAAATGATAAAAGAAATTATTATGTTAAGATAACCACGTGACGTAACATTGACATTCTGATGTATCGTACCGCTTCAGAGTCTACAACTTTAAAATACGTTTCTTAAAATAGTATCCTAAATATTTTATTTTGTACAAAATCTGCAGTCTAGTAATAACAGATAAGTTCATTGTGTCGTTTTCCTTATTCTCTTTATTCGATAGTTGCATCGTGTTGAGTGCAAAATTTAATGCCTAGTTCTGTCACGTTCTCGTCTCCGATCGCGATCTCGTTCTCTTTCCCTATCCCTGTCGTCTCTCCTATACCGATCCTTATCTCTGTCCTTTTCCTTGTGTGAGGAGGAATAACTCTTCGGCGATTTACTCCGTTTCCGTTCGCGTCTGTCCCTATCCCTGTCCCTGCTTCTCGACCTCTGTTTCTCTCTATCCGATTTCTTATCGGAACGCGAATGCCTTTTGTCCCTGTCTCTGTGTCGGTCCCTTTCTCTCTCGTGATCATCAGTTCTCTTTCGAGTGTCCTCTTTAACGGGAGGTATATCTTCATCTTCTGAAGATTCTATTCCTTCATCCATGTCATCTTCCAATGCAGAGACTTTCGCTTCTAAAAAATATTTACGCAAATAACGTTTCTTACAATGTCCATTACGTGATTCTTATAGTTTCTCATGCCAAAAACAAATCCGGAAGGAGAAATACTTTATCAGGTACGGTGTTCGAAAAATAGCGATTTCTTTAAAAATGCATATCGCATAACGCGCAATCTAAAGTAGCATGTTTGAAATTATTATTGTTATGCCAGCTTCCTATTTTCTGTTTTATCAAATAGGACAGTATTTTAAAAATAAATGGCATATATACAAAGTTAATGAAAAAAACGTATTATTGATGTATGTGAAAAATCCATTATTTCATTGACACTTAATAAAAATGTATTGCAACTATTC